CTTCCGCCCCGCCGTGAGTCTGGGGGCGTCCCCGAGGGGTCTGGGGGGGTCCCACAGGGGTCTGGGGGCGTCCCAGAGGGGTTTGGGGGTTCCTGGAGGGGTCCTCAGGGGGTTACGGGGGGATCCCGAGAAGGATCCTTGCAAGGACCGCCCCCCCCCGCCCCGCTTCCGCCCCGCCGTGAGTCTGGGGGCGTCCCCGAGGGGTCTGGGGGGGTCCCACAGGGGTCTGGGGGCGTCCCAGAGGGGTTTGGGGGTTCCTGGAGGGGTCCTCAGGGGGTTACGGGGGGATCCCGAGAAGGATCCTTGCAAGGACCGCCCCCCCCCGCCCCGCTTCCGCCCCGCCGTGAGTCTGGGGGCGTCCCCGAGGGGTCTGGGGGGGTCCCACAGGGGTCTGGGGGCGTCCCAGAGGGGTTTGGGGGTTCCTGGAGGGGTCCTCAGGGGGTTACGGGGGGATCCCGAGAAGGATCCTTGCAAGGACCGCCCCCCCCCGCCCCGCTTCCGCCCCGCCGTGAGTCTGGGGGCGTCCCCGAGGGGTCTGGGGGGGTCCCACAGGGGTCTGGGGGCGTCCCAGAGGGGTTTGGGGGTTCCTGGAGGGGTCCTCAGGGGGTTACGGGGGGATCCCGAGAAGGATCCTTGCAAGGACCGCCCCCCCCCATTGTCCCCCTTGCCCACCCCTGAGAGAACAAGCTGTGCATGAAGCTGCACTGCTGCCCTGGGGGTGTTTTTTGGGGTCCCTGGGTGTGTTCTTTGGGGGTTTTGGGGGTCCCTGGATGTGTTTTTTGGGGTTTTTTTAAGGGTTTTTGGGGTCCCTGACCCCCGTTCCCCCCCAGCCTACGTGCTGCCCAAGCTGTACGTGAAGCTGCATCACTGCCCTGGGGCTGCTTTTGGGGTCCCTGGGTGTGTTTCTGGGGTCCCTGGGTGTGGTTTTTGGGGTCCCTGACCCCCATTCCCCTCCCCAGCCTACGTGCTGCCCAAGCTGTACGTGAAGCTGCATCACTGCCCTGGGGCTGCTTTTGGGGCTGCTTTTGGGGCTGGTTTTGGGGTCCCTGGGGGTTTCTGGGTGTGTTTTTGGGGTCCCTGGGTGTGTTTTTGGTGTCCCTGGGTGTGTTTTTGGGGTCCCTGACCCCCATTTCCCCCCCCCAGCCTGCGTGCTGCCCAAGCTGTACGTGAAGCTGCATCACTGCCCTGGGGCTGCTTTTGGGGCTGATTTTGGGGTCCCTGGGGGCTTCTGGGTGTGTTTTTGGGGTTTCTGGGTTCTCTGGATGTGTTTTTGGGGTGTTTTTGGGGGGTTTTTGGGGTCCCTGAGTGTGGTTTTTGGGGTCCCTGACCCCCATTTCCCCCCCCCAGCCTACGTGCTGCCCAAGCTGTACGTGAAGCTGCATTACTGCGTCAGCTGCGCCATCCACAGCAAGGTGGTTCGGAACCGCTCCCGCGAGGCGCGCAAGGACCGCACCCCCCCGCCCCGCTTCCGCCCCGCCGTGAGTCTGGGGGCGTCCCCGAGGGGTCTGGGGGGGTCCCTGAGGGGTCCCCGAGGGGTTTGGGGGGTCCCTGAGCGGTTTGGGGGGTCCCAGGGGAGTTTAGAAGGGTTCTGGACCACCCCCCCCTGCCCCGCTTCCACCCTGCTGTGAGTCTGGGGGCGTCCCCGAGGGGTCTGGGGGGTCCCAGAGGGGTCTGGGGGCGTCCCCGAGGGGTCTGGGGGTGTCCCAGAGGTTTGGGGGGGGCCCTGAGGGGTCCCCGAGGGGTTTGGGGGGTCCCAGGGGAGTTTAGAAGGGTTCTGGACCACCCCCCCCTGCCCCGCTTCCGCCCCGCCGTGAGTCTGGGGGCGTCCCCGAGGGGTTTGGGGGGTCCCTGAGCGGTTTGGGGGGTCCCAGGGGAGTTTAGAAGGGTTCTGGACCACCCCCCCTGCCCCGCTTCCACCCTGCTGTGGGTCTGGGGGGGTCCCAGGGCTGTTTGGGGGGATCCCCGAAGGGTTTGGGGGGGGTCCCAGGGGTGTTTAGGAGTCTGGGGTCTTTGGGACTGCACCCCCCCTCTCACCCCACTTAAACCTTGCCCTGGGTTTGGGCAGACCCTGGAGGAGTTTGGGGGGGGTCTCCAAGGGGTCTGGGGGGGTCCCAGGGTTTATTGGGGGGACCCTAGAGAGGTTTGAGGCGTCCCAGAGGGGTTTGGGGGTTCCTGGAGGGGTCCTCAGGGGGTTACGGGGGGATCCCGAGAAGGATCCTTGCAAGGACCGCACCCCCCCGCCCCGCTTCCGCCCCGCCGTGAGTCTGGGGGCGTCCCCGAGGGGTCTGGGGGGGTCCCAGAGGGGTCTGGGGATGTCCCAGAGGGGTTTGGGGTGTCCCAGAGGGGTTTGGGGGGTCCCAGAGGGGTCCCTGAGCGGTTTGGGGGGTCCCAGGGGAGTTTAGAAAGGTTCTGGACCACCCCCCCCCTCCCCCCCTTCCCCCCGCACCGGCACCGGGAGCGGCCCCGGGCGCTGCTGCTGCTGCTGCCGCTGCTGCTCCGCGCCGCCGCGCCCGGCTCCGCGCAGGCAGGTGAGCACCGGCACCGGCACCGGCACCGGCGGGAACCGGGGCTGCGCCGCAAAGGGGAACCGGGGAAACACCGGGGGTCCCGGGGTGGGCGGCGGGAGCGGGAGCGCTCGGGGGTCGCGGCGGTGCTGCTGCCCCGATTCCGCCGGTACCGGACCGCGACCCGATCCCGGCAATTCCCGCGGCCGCTTCCCCCGCGGGGGCGTCCCGGGATCCCCCGGGGGCACCGCACGGCTCCGGGGCACCGGCGCTGAAACCTCCCCGGGACTGCGGCTCCGGCGGGGCCGGGGCTGGGTGGCCGCTGCCGGGGCTTGGTGCTCCGTTCTGGGGCTCGGTTCCGGGCTCGGTGGCGCTGCCCGGGATCGGTCCGAGGGCTCGGTGCCCGCTCTCGGGGTTCGGTCCCGCTCTCGGTGCCCGCTCTCGGGGTTCGGTCCCGCTCTCGGTGCCCCTTTCCAGGCTCGGTGCCGCTCTCGGTGCCCCTCCCGGGCTCGGCACCTGCGGCCCCGCAGCTGCCCCGGGCTAATTTTAGGCTGCGGGGCCGGGCCCGGCGATGCCTTTGGGATCCGGGCGGGACCCCCGAGGGGGACGGGGAGGGGGGATCCTTCAGGGGGGACCCCCGGAGGGGCCCCCGGCCGTGCCCGCCCCGCACCCCCGGCACCCCGGAAGGGCCGCGGCCGCCCGGGAGTTGTTTTTTAATCCCGAAAGGAAAAACACCGAGGGCTGGACGCGCAAGGTGGGGCCGGCGTCACCCCGAAAGCCCGGGGGTGCCCGGGGGTGCCCGGGGGTGCCCGGGGTGGGGGGCACACCCGGGGGACCCCTGGCTGTGTCCCCCGCTCCGTGTGCCACCGGCGATGCCTCGGGTGCCACCCACGGGCTCCGGGTCCCACGGCGAGAGAGGGAACAGCGCGGGGACACCTCGGGGGGCTCGGGGACACCTCGGGGGGCTCGGGGACACCGAGGGGACACCGAGGGGACAGCGAGGGGAGCGGCCCCCGCCCCGCAGCCCCCAAAGCCCCGGCTCTGAGAGCCCCCTTTGTTCGGGGCCCGGCGCACACAGCCCCCTTTGTGCCGCCGCCGGGACCGAGGGCAGGAGGTCGCTGCGAGCCCCTCCCGGTACCCACGGGCTCCGGGTCCCACGGCGAGAGAGGGAACAGCGTGGGGACACCTCGGGGGGCTCGGGGACACCTCGGGGGGCTCGGGGACACCTCGGGGACACCTCGGGGGGCGAGGGGACACCGAGGGGACACCGAGGGGACAGCGAGGGGACAGCGAGGGGAGCGGCCCCAGCCCCGCAGCCCCCAAAGCCCCGTCTCTGAGAGCCCCCTTTGTTCGGGGCCCGGCGCACACAGCCCCCTTTGTGCCGCCGCCGGGACCGAGGGCAGGAGGTCGCTGCGAGCCCCTCCCGGT